GTGACGCTACTTGCTGTGCCAGCGGTCGCGGGTTCGAGTCCCGCTGGGGGCATTCATTTGTGTGATGAGCATGAATGTCTGTACTCCAGTCATGGGTGTTTATATTTATAATATGTATGTATTTAAAGTTATAATATAATATGTGTAGTTTATCAACTATCTGGTATCCATAACACAAGCCTCGTAGCTTAGCATGGAACTAGGTAGATAGTGTTGTGTGTTAATATCTCAACATATTTATTTTTTTATTTTTTAACTAATTTAAATTAGCTAAAACATCTCAACTCTTTTCTCTTACTCACTTTTACTCTTCTTTTTTTTAAGTTTTACTAACATGTTCAACAAAACTCAAATTTTTTACATAAAACTCTTGTAATTTTTTACATAAACATGCAACAAATGATTTATGCGTGTTTGAGTTCATAAAAAAATATATAATTTAGAAGAATCTACTTTTTCCAGAAAGAGGTCGTTGACTCCATCTCCGTGCCAATATTTTTAATTATAAATACTGTATTGGCTGTAGCGTGTGTCAAAGTATCATTTTTGTCTTTGATTTACAAAATGAATGCCAAAAAGTATTGTTACTAATAGCTATTAGAGCGCCAGTTTTTTCCGCTCCAATCTCAACTTACTTCTAAGTAATTGGCAACAACAAGATTATCGAATTCTGAATACGGAATATATAAAAGTAAAACAAACAACATTTGTTAAAAACGCTGCTTATTATTTTGCACATTGTGATTTAAATAGTTTAGTATGCTTGTACATATGCATTCAGCCCTTTTTAACATCCCACTGCTGGGCATACGAGGGGTATCAGGCCATATTCCGCCATGCTGTCTAAGGGCGGACGGAGTTTTGGAAACTTACTAGGTTTTCGCTGGCTTCTTTATCTTTACTATAATACACATGATAATCATGTTGAAAATGGTTCGCACGGGAGTATATCACAGCTGCAAGACCTGGGACTTGAACTTGCTTCACTTCTCACACAATCGCAGTACCACTGGGCCACAGTTGCCTCGTAGTTATAATTTTCGTGTTTAATTTATATTTTATTTAAGTTATTATTATATAATTATTATTGGAAAACTTGTCCAAAAAATAATTCGTTAACAAATACCGATACGTAAAGTGCATATGCTTAGTAACAAGATTATATGTATTTATAGCAAATTTTAGAAATCCATACATATAATAAAATTGTAAGTAAGCCGAATCTATACATTAAATATTTTTTGGAAAATCTTATTGAAATAAACATTATTATCGATACATCATCATCAGATCACACAAATAAACATTATCATCAGATCTGTCTGTCTGTTACCGCATCACAGAAAAACTACTGGAGGGATTTTGATGAAATTTGGTATGGTGATAGCTGGTTATCCGGGTCAACATATAGAATACTTTTTACAGCGGGAAAATATCTCATTTCTGAGAAAAAATACAAAAACTGCAATGTAAGAGTATACTAATATGTAAAATCTAATAATTTGGTTTTCGGTCATCTGAACGCGAGCGGAGCCGCGGGCAATGCTAGTATGTACTAAATCTACGTATTAAGACATGTGTGCTTTAATTCAAGTTCATTATCTATTTAATGTAGACACACAAAACATTTTATTACGAAAATTAGTCGGATCGGAGCGAGAAGAATAATCAACGCGTGCGCCAACACGATTATACGATAAAAACATGAACGATGTCATGCTGAATGAAACCTTTTTAAACCTACTTACTATCTACGGTACGTACGTAGAGAGTTATGTGTGAGAAAAGTCATATTTTTTTGTATCGTACAAACATACGGAGCTATTTCATTATGATAGAGACAGTTTACATATATTATTAATTACGAACTCAAAAATATATAATATATGTATGATATATACTATAGCATAAATGTCACCAAATCTCACTTTATCTCACCAATGGAGTACTAACCTGAGATAGTCGCCTATGACAGGCGTCCTAACTTTTTAAGTAAAACAGTATCTATAAAAAATAAAATCTAAAAGATTTCAGTCAGTCAGCAGTTGCAAAAACGGAGGATAACCTACAAAAATGAGCATATTAATAAATAATATTACTCTTAAACTAATTATAACAATTAAAAAGAAATATATATGTGTACCATATCTTGTTCCTGCCACGTCTACTCTAGCTTGGTTCTTTATCACATAAGGCGGGCGGTGCGCACGGCCCGCGCGTGACGTCACGGGTGTCCGATTACGCCAACTTTCACTCCATCTCAAAGGCAAGGTCACCCTCGGGATTCGCGTACGATATGCACACAGCACGATACTATCTCATTCTTGATATCCATAAACGACATATGTGTGAAAAAGATGGATATAATGGAAATTAGTCTATAAATAAATCTATTATATTCCTTATAGATGCATCGTTATCGCGATTAAGTGATTAAAAAAACTTAAAAAAAAAACAACTGCACGTATTATATTTTTCTTTTGTTCAATAAATTTCGTTACGAATTGCTTTTAGACGTTAACTGGAAAATTAATCACCGTCGATGCTTAGCTTCTTTAAATTTCGTAGGTTCAATCTTAGAAATGTGGCGTAGACTCTTAATTTGTATTAATAAAAAAATGATAAATATGTATCTCAATGGAACATGAACCTTTATCATGTAATGATAATAATAATATTTTTATGGTACAAATAATGTTCACAGATTAAATAGTTTTAGTCAATAATTACTGCGTTTGTAACAATAATATATAGGTATATATTTTATTTGTTCTCAAAGTGAAAAGTTTATTTCATTGATTTTTTTTAATTTCTTCAGTTGGTGATAAGTAATCTATATGCTTGCCTATTAAAAAGTTTGTTTCTACAACTGTACTTAAACTTTAATATCTGTTTTGTTTCAAAAGGCTTATATTTAGTATTCACTTATTTAAGTTATTAGAGAATAGAAAAATTCATAGATTCCCATGAAACATCGATAACAGCAGAGTGGAAGTTATTTAAATCATTCGATTAATAATAGTCGATGAGTCTACATTACTTACGGATTACTTTTATAACGTCTAGAAAATTTTAATATTTTACTTCTTCGCCTGTTACTTGATGCACGCGGCACTTTCTTTATAAAACAACTAGCTTGCTTCACCATACAAATTTTCATCCCTTAAGTGATTATTTCCCGGATAAAAACTATGTCTATCCTATGTCTTCCTCAGGATCTCAAACTATCTTACCAATTTCATCTAAATCGGTTCTGTAGTTATGGAGCCTATTTGGTACAAACAAATAAACAAACAAATATTTCCTCTTTAATATTAGTATAGATTATTACTAGTTTTAATGGCACAGATCTTAGAGTATACATAATATACTCTAAGGCACAGATGCTATATTTATGACAAAAGTTTGAGTCAATAAATCGCATATATTATGCTTAATTCATTTAAATGTAAGGTGCATTTAATTAATGTTTTAATTTAAAAAAAAGTATTTTTTATTAATCTTTTTTTCAATCATGTACACTAATTTATTCATTGAAACACTCATGAACGACGATCTACCAAAAATTTATAGAACTGGAACAAAATTGAACAACTATTAATATGTTTTACTTAACAATTACGAATACCTCTTCATACATTAAACAGATCATAATAAATTTGGCTGTCTGTTTAAGCGGTTGTATAACACAGCCAATTTCCCGCCATCCTAAAGTAGCACCCACACATTGCATTTAAGAAGACATTTAAGACTACCTTTAAAAAAAGAACACCTTTTACCTTTAAATTAAAAAAAAAGTTGGTTTCAAATTCAATAATTTAAAAACAAAACCAAATTAAAATAGACCATACTCATTTTTTTACTTTCATACAAGGTAAAATTACTATTTATTTTATTTACGGCGAAGAAAGGAACAAACGTGCAAATTAATCATACTATAAATAAAACTTACATTTACAAACAACAATAGACAAACAACGCATTTCTAATTCGACGAAATTGTATAATGTGAAAGTGATTTATCTATCACGTCAAGTATAATTTATGAATATAGTTTTGATCAAATGATCAGACTATTTTAAAGTAACTGATAAATATTAAATTGTAATAAAATCTTTGGCACTATGACAAATATCATTGCGTTGTTTTGAGTAATGCAAGTTTTTTAACGAACGAATCGTTTCGGGCGCAAAAGTTGCATTTTGATACTTTATCTCAAAGAGGTCGCTGACTCATGTGTTATGTCAAAATTGAATACTAAATTAAAATACTATTTTCAGCGTTAGCTAAATATTTCAATGTCGAGTTGCAGACATTACTGGAACATTAATCACTTAACGTTTTGTTTGTGCATAAAAAATTTCAGCTTCGTTCCCCAAATATGTATATATATACGTGAGTGTAACGCTTACGTATATAATATGTACATACATATTTGGGTGTCATATATCTTAATAATTTTACTTTAAAAGAAAAGGAAAACATCTTTACAATATCTAAAAAACTATTAGAATTTATTCAGTACTCCATTATAATTCTTATTTATATTTCTTACGATCGGTTGAATCACTTATTTTTTTTCGAACAATGACCTAACGGATTTACCTAAGGTGTTTCAAGATGATGAATATTTTTCTTTCTTTCAAAATGCGAATGAAACATGCTCTCTATATGTACGTAAATATTTAAATAGGATATATGTTAGGATAAAACGCTCGATTTAAAATCGCTTCTCAATAAATCAATTAGTAAAACAAGATCAATTAATTAGTATTCAGCTTTTATTGCCTAAACAATAGACCAAACGCAACCTTGGAACAAGACGAACGTAATAATACCTGGTCCCATCGCCAAACTGTTATCTAAAAGTGGACACAATCTTTGGCAAGTATTGCATTTTAATTTCAGTTGTTCATATCTTGTCCCGGCGTTACATCGCTGCACCAACCCCCTTATCAAACTTTCAACCCATCCCTTTCCTCTTTTGAAAGTGATACAGAATGGGACTCTTGTTGTCTGTAATAATATCATACGTCGGCTTTCACGAAGCTATAGAGTGCATGAAACATATAATCAGTGGAATAATACCTGATACGGAACCTAATTTCAATGATCTCGTCGAATATTATACGCGACTACTCCAAAAGAGAGCGAACGCTACACCGCGGGACTGGACACAAGAATGCGGTCAAGGCTACCTCTGTTTGACCGAAGATAAAAATGGAAACCTCAAGTCTGCAACTGTCAAGTTCTATGGATGTCAGCCGAATTCGACCGCCATATTGTTTTCGACTAAAATATCCAGCTTTGGCCAAGATTCATTCGAAGATAACTCTCAAGCAAATGGCGATTACAGAATAGACAGGTACCCAACGAAAACGAAAACAATTATATCGAATTCGTCAGAGTCTTTTAGTGTGGGAAGTAGAAACAGATCACCTACGTCTTCTGGAAATATTTCAGATAACGCTGAGCCAGAAGAATCTACTGATGATAAAGATAAACAGAAACTCACATGGGAATACACCCCTAAAACACCTCCTTCATCACCGTTGCCTGAAATACTTTTTGAATCGTACAGCGGAGATAAAAATGGAAATGTAACATACAGCGAAGACTTTTTAAGGTTAATATTATTTATTATTGACCACTGCACGTTATTCATAGCCAATCATAATTCATACTCTGTAGTGACATCTCTGCGTTTTTATTCCATCAGTGTGCATCCTCTTCACAAAAGCTCGATCGGGACACGGCTTCCTTATGTGGAACCATTATTATTAATGTATAATCCTATTCATATATAATTTTGTTTAAGATCTCTTGATGGGATTAAGTATCGACCTCTGCAGCGCAGCGATCCGAGTTTCAGACGGAGGTCATTTAGAAAACGGGCATCATCATCTTCAAATTCGTCCAGAGAGTCTCGAGCGTCCCGTGACGAGGAACTTAAAATTTTTACGTCACTTGAGGAAGCTGAATTTAAAAGCATGAATAAAAATGAAAATTACACTGGGTTTGGCAGTGCCCCTAACTTAGCAGCGCGTTCTTATTCCAGAAGTCGATCGCGAGAGAAATCCCGTGAAAGAAGAAACGAGAGCACCATCCCTGAAGCTACTTCTTACAACGCAGACGATGAAAGAGTAAATGATGCAAAGGCGCTTCTGAAAGACGTGCCTAAACTTTCATCACTAGAAGAAAATAAAACAAAAGACATGCCAGAGGTAAAAGAAGAAGAAGAAGAAGTTGATTTTTGGGCTAACATTGAAGATTAGAAGCGCTTTTTAACGTAGCACGAACGCACCACTGCTTTGACATTGATGAGCATGACTGATTGAAAGACATTAAAGGATAAAACTCTCATTTTTGGTTTGTTTTATAATCCCACATAGTATATACCTTCCTTTAAGACGGGAAAAACAGTTTTGTACAAGCTTTGTATGGCTTCTGAGATGAATCTCACTATAAATTTATAGAGTGCTGTGCCATATATAATATAAATAGATACCTAAGTAGTCAATTAATATTCGATTTATTGCTTTTACAGTTGCCAAAATATATCTATTCACTTGTTAATATGTATTTGATAAGATATAAAGACAATCTAAGAAACAATACCAACTACAGAATGAACGGAAAAAGATTGAAATTTCTAATAATTATGAATTACTATCATAAAAAATTGATATAAATTTCACTTTTTCATAATTATTCACATAAAGTTTATTAGCAGTAAACAAACCGTGTTGCTCAAGAAATCCTAAAATATACAGGCTCGGTCCGAACCTCGACCCACTTGCTTTTAATGTGACATCGACCTTCTGTCTACGCCACTCCTCATGGTATTACGGGATAATTTATATTTACTATATTCAAAGCTTAGAACTTCAATTTATTAAAGAAAAATTGCACACGCCGATATAAATTTAAATAGGGCTTATTAGTTCTTTCTTAAAATTCGAATTATTTTATGAGTTTAGGTGAATTATGTGTTTTTATCATTAAGCGAGTTTTTTCATTTTTTGCTAGCAAAATCGCGTCGATATAAAAAAAGTTAGAAGAACTTTAAAACATAACAATAAAATGTAAAACTAAATACAGATAATATTTAATTCATTCCATTTATTTGGCTTTCTTAGTTTTACCTCTAATAACATTAAGTGCGTTCTTATTCTAAAACCACATGAAAAAAATAATTTATTCTTAGTTACGTTAGATACATCTGGATTGTGGTTAGTTTTGCTCAAAGATTCTGTTACAGTGGTCATTACATACACAATTACCGCCACTGGAAACCACAACTATATTTACTACCAAAGTAAATCTTTACGACAGGAAACCCCTTTGCCAAAAGATATTTAGACGTAGCTTATTTTATCGCTTACACAATAGAATATAAGGCCATACATCCGACGATCAAAGCAAATTTTTTTGTGCCAAATATAATTTAGTCACTCAATTTCATTACATAGCGATCCCCAATGATCCCAAAAAGTAATGAATATAAATATCAACAAATATTTTAGTATTTATCTATACATATAATAAAATTGTAACTAAGCCGAATCTGTATATTAAATATTTTTTGGAAAATCTTATTGAATTATCGATACAGAGGCCGAATCTATACTTTTTAGAATTTTTATCTGTCTGTCTGTTTGTTACCGCATCATAGAAAAACCACTGGAGGGATTTTGATGAAATTTGGTATGGTGATAGCTGGTTGTCCGGGTCAACATATAGAATACTTTTTACTGCGAGAAAATATCTAATTTCTGAGAAAAGTACAAAAACTGTAATGTAAGAGTATACTAATATTTAAACCTAAGAATTTGGCTTTTGGTCATCTGAACGCGGGCGGAGTCGCGGGCATTGCTAGTTTAACATATGCAGGGATTTATTATTTTTGTCAATATTTAAAACATTCTTAAATACTGGGCCGTTTGCAAACTAAGTCTTGCAATTGCAGTTGCATTCAGCACGTAGGTGTGTTATAATAATGATATATTATATCTGCTAGTATACTTATTATTGATATAAAAGACCATCTGTGTGTCACATATCTGAATTAGAAGATGTTATCATTATGGTAAGAAATAAATAATGAAGAAATATATAGTAGAAATATAAAGTAAAAGATGTATATCTCCAACTGCATAATACTTTGTTCCTTTCAACAACTTATTTCCATCGTTAGTTAGCTTTTTACGAAGTCGGATTTGTTTACTTTTGTAATTAGTGATATAAATGGTTCGTTTTATTTTATAATTTGTTATGCCCAATGAAACATATAATAATCATATAATTTTGTGCTCGCCCCTTAAAAAGACTAAGTTTTGATTCTCCAGGTTTGAAAGAAAAAAAAACTTCATGAACGGTCCAAATTGCCGCCTAAAAATTGGCAATTAGATTTTTCATAATTTTAATATATCCTTTGAAAGTCACGTTATCAAGAAGAAACTGAAAACGCATAATTCATCAAAATGAGTTTAGCCGTTTAGTAATTATAAAAATCCATATAATATCTCTCGTTTGAATTTTGCCGTAATCGGGTAAATATTGCCCAAATTAGATTTACGAGACTTATAAGTCACAATTAATAAATACTTATACGTACATATGTACGTATTGAAAGAAATAGTCGTAATATTGTCTGGACCCTTTTCCATTACTTAGTATTAATGATATTTAGTATCCATCAAAACCGAGTTATCTATCCCCTTTCTAATCTATTTTCGGCCGCCGGGTTCATTCGTCACGCCCTATATTTAGATCTTGTACGACGCCAGGCCAAAGTCAACTCATAAACAATGAAAGTTTTCTGAGAATCCTTAAAAACGATCATTTTTAATTTTTATTTTAGACAGATTTATGGCTAGATTGTTAGTTCAAAGATAGTTTGCATATGACGAAAACATGATATTTAAAGCCCACAGTAAGCGTTGGTGGTATAATTTAGATTTTCGCGGATTTTATGCTTTTTTTAAGCATTCCTTGGTCTCAGCTGGAATTATAATTTAGTCATGTTTTAAAAATTTGACAACATTCACTGTGATGAGTAAAAGATAAATCTCAATCTTTACTTACTTAACGCGATGTTTTTGTATGAAAGTCCTAGAAAAATAACAAGTGGGGGTAATCAAACGCAGTGTCATGGGAATAACATATTCAAAACTCCTTTAATCCATACCAATTATTTCATGATCATGGACTTATTGTTACTATTGCGTATAATCCACTTGTAAGTTATCATAATATTTCCCATTGGAGGAAAATTTTGAAGTTAGACCTTCAATGTCTAATTTATACAGTGCCATTGTTTTCAATGTGTTAATGTATTTTTTAACGTTGGCGTACTCTTTCATAAAATAGCTTTAATGTTAAACTCAAAAGCAGGTGTTTACCATCTTCTCGGAAGCGTAAGCGAATTTTAAAAATAAACTGATGAATGAATGTTGACCAAGACCTTCTGCGCTAAGACATCGACCGGCTGCGTCTAGACAAAAATGAAGGTAGCCTCGATAAATGACGAAATCGAAAAACATCCGCTAATCGTCATTTAACATTTCTGTTCAAGTAAACATATGTAACTAAACTGTTAAGGTTTCGATAAAATAAATAATGTTACAGAATTTATTATAGTAATATGAATCAAACAATCTACTGCTATTAATCGACAGATTAAAAGAAATCGTTCAAACAATAGGAAGTGCTCAAGGTATAGAGTTTAGACCAGATTTAGAACCTACGAATTATAGTGAATTACAGTATTTTATGTTTACTTCTCCGTCATATTTTAAATAATTAGTTAGTATGGAATAGATAGAACATATATATTCTATCTATTCCATACTAACCGTTAAAATGTACCTAGGGACGAATCCGAATGAAGCGAGGGTGAGCCGCTTGTAATACTATAATTAGCTACTTAACTTCTTGATGAAAAGCAAAATGTTTACTATGCAATATCTAGACAAGTGACGATAGATAGGGTCGAATTCTTGAAAATATATCTAAAAGCTTCTATGACATGTAGGTCGATGTTTATTTATATTTTAATGCGAACGCCAATGTAAATCACTAATCGTTTAATAAACACAATCGAACAGACGTTGAATCCCAGCCATACGATAAGCTCATTTCAATATCAATAATTCAGAAACGATCGGCCTATATTCACAAGTGCAGCAAGAAATCATCTCGGATCCTTTAAAAGTCGACAGATGTGGGGTAACTGATCGGGTTATCGAAGGAAGCGTGCGATTCTCCGGACGTTAGAAAACGCCCGCGCACCTGCCCTCTCCGTCACTCATCCAAATTTAAATCCTGAACTCCCCCCACCGGCGCGTGCGCTTTACATTCTGGAATAATTCCTGAGATTTAGCTACTGGTGTTCGCCATTCGAAATCGGGTCGCGACCGCGTTCGGTGATATCGTTTATTTTGTAAAAACAGCCAAAACTTAGCCATGGCTGACGTTGACGTACAAGTCCAGTACACTACTACTGAAAGAAAGACCAGGAAGGTCAAAAAGTCCTCCAAGCGTAGGGAGTCGAAGGATGGCGAGGTCACCGTCACAGAACTCGAACAAACCACCACGACCGGCAATACTGACGATGGGTATGTGTAGTGGTGGCCAAACCTTGACCATCGTGCATAATGGGATGTGACTAGTGTCTCTGTCTAGTGTTTATTTAAAATTGCGGTTACAGCTAAGTGTTTATCATGTTACGCTTTATTTGGCCACCCTCGCATACCCTACCTAATTTAAGGTATATTTTTTATTAAAATTAGCAATATTCTCCTTAATTTATTATCCTATTTGTTTTAATGACATACTAATGAAATTTATATAAACTTCAATTGATATACGATAAGTTACAAGAAATTATAAACACCTGGAATATCCTCCGCGTTAAAAATATAACTTGTAGTAATTTTCTAGTTAGAGATTCATAAGTAAAATATACATAGTATAGATTTAGATCACTTATTAATAAGGGTTTTTTCTTGCAGCTTATTTTCAGTGGCGAATACACCAAGGCGATGAACAAGGACTGGCACAGCGGTCACTTTTGCTGTTGGCAGTGCGACGAGTCCCTCACCGGACAGCGCTACGTGCTCAGGGATGAACACCCCTTTTGTATCAAGTGCTACGAGAGCGTCTTCGCTAACGGCTGTGAAGAATGCAACAAGACCATTGGCATCGACTCTAAGGTAACTCCTAGATTTTGGTTTCAATTGACTAATTTCTACATTTTAGATGACGACTTAATGCACAAAAATACATGAGTTCTATTCGACATGTAATTAATTTGTATTAAATCAATTTGTCTATGACACAATTCGGATGGATTTATTTACTTGCCAAAATAATATGAACATATGTGCTTCTGAATAGATATATGTATTTTGTATTAATCAAAACGATCCAACTAGTTTTTACTTAGATATAATAATGACACATCTTCAAAGATAATTTTTTTAGTAAATGCTACCAAAATTAGAACAGCATCAGAGTCAGTAGCATTGCTGAGCTTTGTTACGATGATCAAATTTAGTTTTGTCACTCCAGTCGGCCCAGATTCTTCGGGCGTACCTCTGCACACGGCCCCAGGCCGATCGTTGCCAACGTTGAGTATACCTATACGTTCTAACTGACGAATGACTTTTCCCGTTATACCAAACAGCTGCAATATCACAATTGTACTTTACAAAAATACTTTGAACTGTCCATCAAGATCAAATAATAGTCATCAACGATCAAAGCTTTGAAAATAAGAAGCATTATTTCGGTATATTTGTTCTTGAGCTAAAAACAATTTTACAATAAAATGCTCGTGACTTTGTATCTAGTTAAAGAACAAATCTTTATCATAATATGTTCAGTAGATTTTTGCGATGATGTTCTTTGATTTGTTGTGTTGTTGATAATAGTTTATACGTAACAGTAGAAGTAATATTTTGCCAGAACTATAATAAATTTGTTTGTTAGTTTTAGACTGGAATAAATAATGTAAGAAAACATTGGCTCATGTACTATTTTTGGGTCAGAAACAGTAATATTCTAATGTTTTCGTTTAGCTTCGACCTTGAAGAATCGCGGGTGGACCGTCAGACGATTCTTTTAAGATTTATACATGCTTCGAACAACACTTAGCATTTCGTAATCGCCAAAATAAGCTTTCATATTTTATTGATATTACGACATCCAGTTCAGTGTGAGAGTCGCTTCTGTATCACATCTCGCGATGCTGCCAATAATAGAACGTTAAATGAAGGGGCTTTATTTTGAAACTCTGTGTTTAGATACAGTCGTAAATTAGTTAAGGGTTTCTGTTTACATAATGCTCAAACATTGTTGAATGCTAATTCGTACGTAGTAACGTAAACTGTTCTGAGAAAATATTTTAAAACAATAATTTTTTGTAGATGCAAATTAGTGTTGTAGATAATTTGTTATTTGAAAATTGAATGTGTATAAAAGATAATATTCGTATATAATTTAGTTATTTAAGTTTTTAGGCTTTATGATCTTAATTCATGCGTATACACTATATAACACGTAAAGTCACTCTTATAACTTTGTAGTCTTTAAGTGACACCCACAACGTATTGTTTTGTTACCTAATGGGGGATTTTCCAGTTAAACTACGTCTTGTATATACAACTAAATATATTATATGTTTGCCTATCACTTCAAAACTCATTAATCATTCTCAACCTAGTGCTCCACTGTCAATACTTTTAACGTTTCCAACGTGACCAATAAAGTAATGACAATTAACTTAACAATTGCTTTTAAACTTAGATGTATCAAGTGTCTCTTGTAAAGAAGGTTTCGTATGGTGTGGAAATTTAACCATCCTTTTTATATATAAAAAAAAATCATGTCCTGCCCTTTCAGGTTCGTGACCCCAGATATGTTAAAGACTATTACTCGTACCTGCGATATAAATACATAATTACTTCTAGTTTTCTTAAGAAATAGATATATGTTGCAAAAAAAAAATATTATCAGAATCGTAATTCCAGAGATCGGCGCGCTCAAACAAACAAACGAACTAACTCTTCAACTTTATAATATACGAGTGTCTTACAAAATAAACTAGTAACAACAAACAACGGTAGTTTTTTTTCATCATAAAATAGCCAACAAGCACTTGATATACTGGAATAAAAACTAAGGTACATCATATATTGCTCTACGACCTGCAAATTATCACTATGTTATTAAGTGACGTAGATCTACGAGTATTTATTCAAATTCAACAAATTCAAAAACACGTTCATAGTATTAACGTTTCACGTTAATAGTATTAAATTTAGATATTTAAATTAAGTTATAATATTTCGTTAATAATATTATCTACAAAGTATCATTCTTTCTTACAGGACTTGTCTTACAAAGACAAGCATTGGCACGAGGCATGCTTCCTCTGCGCCAAGTGCCGTGTGTCCCTCGTGGACAAGCAGTTCGGCTCTAAGCTCGATAAGATCTACTGCGGCAACTGCTATGACGCGCAGTTCGCCAGCCGCTGCGATGGCTGCGGCGAAGTGTTCCGTGCTGGTAAGTGCAAATAAATATATAAATAAGTGTATTAAAGAGCAAAAAGCTTCATCGTCTTTTTTCTTCTTGAAAGAAAAATGCTATTAATATTATTAAAAACGTAAACGATAATATATAGGTTTAGGTATATGGTTTTCACAGCAAACAGTTAGATGGCGCCACTAATATGTAACGTGGAGAATTATATTTATTTAAGTACAATTTGTGGGTTTAAACGATTTTAAATTACAGATTTATAAGTAATTGAAGTATAATCATGTTATGTAATAATAATTTTCGTAAGACTCACCCAAATTAACATTTAATAAACAATTTCTTTTATAAAGAAAAATTTAATATGGTAAACTCATAATTACGCCACTGCCGATGAAAATTCTGATCTTTTATTAATAATTAATCATTTTGAATGTGTTTTAACAAAAGAAGAGTTTTATCCGGATGTACTATAAAATTGACTACGTTCGCCATAAAAAATTCTCACCGTACAAAATTACAGTAACTCGTACCGGGATTTGAAACATTGAATACGACTCGTCTCGACTTGCTTTTCTTTTGTAAGAACAGCTTTACCCGACGTGGAAATATCAGGCGAATCCCCTTTTAATTAGAAGCCCTTTCAACTGTGAGCTGGTCACAAAGCACGCTTAAATTAAAGGATGTTAACTGTCGGGAATTCTAATTTCTATATAACGTAATATTATCGTAAAATTAAAGTTACGACTGTTGGTTATTTTAGCAGTTATTCTTAATCCTTTGAATTGAATTTAAAAAATATTATACGTGACACTGGCTATATAAATTTGTTCACAGTTCGGTTTGTAATATATCACATCTCAAAAAACCACTAGGTACACATGTAACAAGGAATGAAATTAAAAAATAATATGATACTTAAGCTTGATCTTGTTAAAATGTAGATAAAAGCAAATGCTGAATGAATAATTACTCCAATTTTTTTACAATATGGCTAACCATCTAAAATGGAAATTTTATCGGCAAGAACTGTAAGATTTATATTATAAGGCTATCTTTTGATCATTAATAATAGTTGGTTGACTGTGTTCAAACAATATTTGTAAAAAATACATTGGATAGCAACGATGACTTCATACTTGAAATAGTAACAAATATCCTCATATTTTTTTTATAATCAGACCTTTCAAATAACAATAGTTTTAGGAATTTTAAACTAAGCAGCAATAGTGGCCGAAAATAAATAAACTTTGACTAAATTATACATACATATTTTCTTTTAATAAACAGTAATATTTAAAAAAACGTACGGACAGATAAATTGTATTTATATTACTTAAACATTTATTTACGACGCATTAAATCATTCACATCTAAATATGGAGTGATGTCGCGATCAGTGAATATAGACTTAAATTACTCTCGAGAGGGCTTAGTGAAGCGTGTGCCTTTATCAATTGACTCATACAGCAATGACACACCGATGTTAAAAATATTAAAAAAAAACTATAATATTTTAAAATTACCTTTATTAAACATTTTTAATATATTAAAAATAGTTTTTCATTTTGATTAATAGTTTTGATAGCCTTTTATTGTCGCCATTATTTTTAACTACCTGCGATTTTATTCAAACTATTAGCATTGCCCGCGGCTCCGCACGCGTTCAGATGATCAAAAACCAAATTCTTAGGTTTTACATGTTAGTATACTCTTACAATGCAGTTCTTTGTATTTTTTCTTAGAAATTTCATATTTTCCCGCGGTAAAAAGTATCCTATATGTTGACCCGGACAACCAGCTATCACCATACCAAATTACATCAAAATCCCTCCAGTGGTTTTTCTGTGATGCGGTAACAGACAGACAGACAGACAAAAATTCTTAAAACTAACTCTAAAATAGATTCGGCCTCTGTATCGATAATAATGTCTATTTCAATAAGATTTTCCAAAAAATATTTTATGTACAGATTCGACTTATTTAGAATTTTATTATATGTATAGATAAGTAAAAATGTACCAATATAGTTGAAAAAAGTTCGCTTGTCAAATTGTCAATGTGTACGCCGTCGCAAGTTAACTCAGTAGGCCGTATAAGGGAAGTGTAATAATACCCTTGCTACTTAAGGCGGTGTAAGGTGATTTGAGAAAAAACCAGCCATTGTCAATGCCGCAGCCTCGACGCTTCAGGACTTTTGACTTTTACGATAAACTCAACTTATAAGTTGTAATATTTAAAATATTTGTACGTAATTTAATGATGTGTATTATTTTAAATGCAGTTATGCGTTAAGTATTTTATTTCAGAAATAATTACAATTACTACAAAAATGTAAAGCTTTATGAAAAAAACGCTTAAAACGTGTACTGAGAGAAAAGCTTTCAGGATCTCTACTTCGACGCTTAACACTGTTAACGAAGTTTGAGTTAACTCTATTGTTTGAACTTGATTAATCGGAGAGAGCCCAGAACTTTAGTTATTTACTATAACTTGGCGTTTGGTTAAAAGTTTAAGCACTAAATGTTAAAATTATTATGGATTATAATGTTATATAAATTAATTATCGACAAAAAAGCTTTGGCTAATGGCTGTTACATATTTTATTTATAAATATATACAATATACATACATTCGTGGGCTTTCACTTTGACCAATTAATTACCTCGTGCATAAAATTAAACCGCGATAAATCATAACTTTCTTTGATTAGGAATATTAATGTCTTTGAATATTCATAAAAGCACTTTCAAACCACTATACATATATACTGATATGTACATATACATATATACTCGTATAATGAATGCGCTTCTACCACCATGACACACGCCCTAGTAGGTAATTCGTATTACTATACAAATCGAACCTAATAAATCTCGGTCTACGATCAATTACGCTATCGTGTAATGATACCCTACTAATGCATGGTCTCCCTGATTGGACGAATAAATTGAATTAAACGGGAGGTCGGTCTGTATACAATGTTGAACTATTAATAACATAGTGAGATGATAGTTTCTGATAGTACGTTGAATCCATACTAATATTATAAATATGAAAGTTTGTGAGGATGGATGGATGTTTGTTACTCTTTCACGCCAAAACGGCTTAACGGATCTGTATGAAATTTGGCACAGAGATAGATTGTTGCCTGGAAAAGCACATCGGTTACTCTTTATCCCGGAAAGATATACGGTTCCCGTGTGATAGATTTGTTTTTGTCTAAATTTAATAAAATGATTGTGTTATTAGTTATTACGGTTTTTATGACTTGATATTTATTACCTACAGTTTTCTCAACTCACTGCCAAATATTTGATTTTGACAGGCTATTTATATCAGACGGGTTAAAAGTATCCAAGGTACAAAGGATTAAATTGTGTATTATTGAGAATAAATAATGAATTTACCTGCACAAGTTCTTTCTGTGCTTTGGCGTTGTGTATGGTATGTGTTACATCGCCTATAGGTTTTTGTTGAAACCAGACCAATACACATATTTAGAAGTATAACAAGATATATATAAAACTAAACTTTGGTTTGGTTACAACACTATGCGTATATTATTATATAATATATTAAATGTTTTTGAAACTCTTAAATTTTTTTTTTTATTCATGACTTGTTAAGTAGGAACAATCGACGCTTTAAATATTTTTTCACTAACTTATTAGCTACTGTTACTAAGCAATGACTACATCTTATTTTTGATATCCATTCATTACCACCCACATGTTAAAACAACAAACTCACGCGAACGAATTCATGAATAACAGTCTTTACAGCTATTGTATTTTTTTTTCTTTTCGTAGAAAATTATGTACGTCCGTCGGAAAACGTCCGTTATATTCTACGAATTTAAATTTTAGCCAGGAAATTGGAACAGACAATTTTTGTTTAAACGTATTTAATTTCAATAGATTTAATAGATTCGAACGATATATGAGTAACCGCTCAGGATGTAATGCCGTTATAATATTGTATCGTGATTTTGCAAAATTCTCCAAGCGTTTGAACCGTTACATGCTTTTATTAGACTAGTAAAATATATTACACATATTACAAAGGATTTCCCGTCTATAAAAATGAATTGTATGAAAAAGATTTCTTTTGATTATCTAATATTATCCAAAAGAAATGAATTATAATTGTATTTTTTGAAATTTACAATAAAAAAATATTACGTCAAAATTTTAATTTTTTATTCGTCTGTTTTATTTATGGTTTAGATACTTAACAAAATAATTTACTTACTAAAATATTTAAAATATTAAAAAAGTATAAGGAAAGATTGTAAATTTCAATAGTGTAAATATTTTTCATAACACAAAAATTGCCAGTAACAATAAAATAATCACAAACTAATTACTAATTAGACTTTACGTACATTAATTAATTATTCGACGGGATTGTGTACGTGACGTATATGTGGTTTTATTTCTCCTGTAGAAAGCCGTCGCTTTATGATTAGGCACGTCGGTAGACAGCCTTTGGTAAAACAAAGTAATACTTCTTGACTATAAAAACACGCACAAGAAAAAATCATAGCTAAATCCGTAAATAAAATATAATACATAATAGAAAGTTGTTGAACCTTTTTAGATATTTTTTTTAATTTAACAGCCAGGGTGAAAATATTCACTTCTAAGTTTTAATATATAGTGGCGACTCACCTTCGCTTGGCTTAGGTCGCTTCTCTAGGTACGTTTTGACGTTCAGTATGGAATAGTTTTGTTTTTTTCATTTTTTTCGTGAATATTTCCGATGTTTTAATTGTTATTCTGCTATTCGGGGTGAAGACAAATCCAACAAAACAAAAATCGTAACAAAAAGGGTCCAGCTCTTCTCGATTTATAAGTGTTGTAATAAACCCGACTTGGACTTGGGAATACATGATATGTAAATGGTATCACTAAATACAAACTTCGCTTTAAAATCAAGTTCAATTAACGTAGTTTATGCGTGACAAATTGCTTAACAAGTTTTGATAAACGATTTGATAATTAAATAAATGACTCTACCTTTATTATCATTGAAGAAATTAAAGAAATATTAAATATTTTTTGTATTCAAATAACTATTATTTTTTCTTTTATGATAGATAAAAAAGAAAATCTTATGATTTCTCATTAAAGTTACTTTAGCAGGAATATCATATATTTTTTTATTTAATCATTTATTAACCAAACCAAATTTCATGTAAATCAGTTAAGTAGATCCAGAGATTACCCCCACAAATTGTCACAAACTCACAGACTCACAAACTCACAAACTCACAAACTTTACCTCTTTATAATATTAGTATCTAAGATGATGTGTCCAATCCAGGTCAAAGTATATCTGTGTACTAAATTTCATCTAAATGCGTCCAGCCGTTCCAGCGTAAACCCGTAACAAATATACAAACAAACACACACTCACACATTTTCGTATTTACATATTATAGTAGGGCCATACTTAAGTGTGAAGTAATTTTCTGTGCGTATTTTTATATACTAACCCGAAATATTGTCTGGAAGAAATCGTTAAATTATTAGCGATAAAACCTTTTATGCACACTCTTCTGATTTTTAAAACTTCGTTTTCCTATTTTTATGTCATTACTGTAGTGTACAGATAAATAAATACAGATTATTAATTTTGTTACCGGTAAATTAACATAAACATAAAACCCTAAATAGTAAAATGTAAGATACGATATTCAAATATGTATCTTGACTATTTGTCTTTTTAAGTGCCTTGTCAAATAGAACCTTTATTTAAAACTAATATTATTATATAGATAAAGAACTTATTCATGTTTAATTTATGCCTCCCATCTAAAATCATTGTTTGTTGCTAATAATACTAGGCACTACTGGATAGCTGAGTCACAGCGTGGGTGTAAGTATACTTTATATTGCTATTAATATTGTCAAATAATACATAGATAATAAATTATTACCGGACCTAATGTTTTAACTTAGGACAATAAATTTACATAATGTAGATCTGCGATATATATGAGTACAAACTTTTTATAATTTGCAAATTCCTCTTTTAGGCATACTAAATAAGTAGATTTAATAAGACCAGCTAGGCAAAATAAAAATACAATAGATAAAAAAATCCTTGTGGTGTTCGAGATAAAAAAAAAGTTTTCAAATTCGTCGGCTGAATAAATACGACCGCTTTAATTTATTCAGAAAGAGTTGTAAACGTTCACAGATTAAATAAACCGATTAAATTGAAGTGCAGTTCAAAATTCAAATGAATATGTATGAAACACGTCATATAAATATTACTTTAAAAGCAATTTGTATGAAGTTAAAATTCAAAAATATGTACATCGTCAATTTTAGTATAACGTAAAACTATAAAAAAATAACGCTAGGTGGGCGTAACAAAAAAAACTTAAATAAGAAATCATATAGTAGAGCAATACAAGATTTGAACTCCATTTCACCAGTCCGACTCGCACTTAGCCAATATATCTCCAATTAAATTCCCAATTTTGCTACTTCACTATTTTTGATAGTCCAGGATATTTCCTTCCCCAATACCGCAATGGGACCGACGCACCATAAGGTGTTCCAACACGCGACTCCGAGAACACATACACACCAACGAAATCACAAATTAAAATATTTTACTTGAACTTCTAAGTTTAGCTAACAAGGTAAATTGATAGACGAGATATCATAAACGACCTCTGCAATAAATAGACATTCGTCACATTATTGCTTATTGCGCTCATCTCAAGATCATCAACGCCGTTAATTTATCATCTTATGCTAGATAACACCAATGACACCTAACTATTGCCTTCTTTGCCCACGTGTTATAATCGAATGAAATATTATTTATGTAATATATATATTCGTAGTACAACTTACAAATTTAGATTTTATAGTTTATTAATTGCAGCGGATTTGATATAATTAACATATAGTGTATATATGTAGAATATAAACATTTTTTTTAAATCAATAGTAACACATATATAAAAACTATATTACCCTATAGGTATCTAAACGTTTTTATTTCTCAGTCGTTATTCATGAAACTTAACATTTTGCTCTGATAAAAATTAAAATTGTTTGTCAAAGGAATACGAAATATTTTTCAAGCTCTTTTCATTAATCTGTGTTTTTACTTATATGTATGTAGGTACAGTCGCGGCGTTGATTATTTTATTTATTCAATACCAGTTCTTATTCTAAATGCAGCAAGAGTCATGGGCATAGCAGTTGCCCATCGTAACCTTCCCTAGACGATTAAGAGTGCGCTTAATATAGAGATCCTTCCTAACATTTCCCTCTTTACTTTTTATATAGAAGTACTTTAGAACGCATACGTGTACGAATTATTATGATAAGAATATACTGAACTTTCGGGAAATGTCATACACAAATAAATGATATAACTGCGCATGAAAAGATATTAATTTATTGTATGACTAGCGACTCACCCTCACTTCGCTTGGCTTGCTTCCCAATACAAACTTTTATCCCCATTTTCACCCCCTTGGGGAATGATTTCCGGGATAAAAAGTACCCTATGTCCTTTCCAGGGTCTCAAATTATCTTCTTACGAAATTTCATCAAAATCGGTTCAGTAGATCCAGAGATTACCCCCTACAACGTCACAAATTCACAAACTTTACCTCTTTATAATATAAGTATAAAAGTATAGATAAACCCTTTCAATTTTAACATTTTCAGAAAATTAACTAGAATAGTTTTCGATTATAGCTGACCAGAGCCCAGAAATTTTAGTCAAAAAATATTTTTTTGCGTGAAGATTGAATCCACATGCATCGAAATTACAATTACCTGTTTTACAGAAAATCGCTGTAAAATAAAACGGTTATTAAAAATAATGCAGTGTAATTTTTCTTATAACACTTTTTGCGAAAATCTCGACGTAATTCAATTTACTTACAGTATAAAATTCACGTACGCTCATAAAGTTTTGATACTGTCGATAGTAAATTTCCATTTAAATTTGCAACAATATATTACGTATAACGTTGCATTTATTGCATTCACATGCATACAGGTATTATTTCATAGACCAAAAATATATTTTTTAAATTACAACAGAATGTGAATCGATTAATCTTATTGGATGTCATGGACACGCCAAAATGCAGGTCATTAAAATGTCATACAGAATTAAGGACAATTGCAAACTTTCTTGTCGGCATCTTCACTGTATTAATTAACAACTCTATTACTTCCTCATTGTACCTATGTTAAAAGAAACCGAAGCGTTATCGTATTTGATCAATTAAGTTCAATCTACAGCCTACAATCCTACATCCTACACGAACTCGGACGCGGCAGTCAGTATCGCGACGCAAGCCGAGAAGCCTGCACATGCGGTGAAAAAAAAAACTGTCAAGTTTCCCGCGCTTGCTAATAAATTCCAATTGTCACCAAAAATATTTTAAATCAATTTAATATTTAAATAAAATATTAGTTTTCTTTTATAATAATTTAAATATAGTCAGTTGTTAATTTACGAAAAAGTTATAATGTCGGCGGACGTGTTAAGTGACGATTTTAAATCGCGTCTGCACTTGACAACTAAAACGGTAGGGCAAGAGAGAATACGGAGGGCTCGGGAGAACAATGAGGACGTCGCCATATTGTCCATGTTCCTCCCAAACGCGACAGCTGAGCGGGAGAACAAGAAGTTCTGTTGTGCGATGAAAGACCATTGCCTGCTCGGCGATCCTAGGAAAACAATCGCAGGTCATTTTTCACATTGATACCATAGCTTTAAATAAAATACATATGTCTAGTCTTCTGACTACTTATAATTATTCTGCTGTTTATATTTTAATCGTATAAGTCTACACAGATTAATAAATAAATAAATAAAGTAAATAAATAAAATAAAATAGCCTTTAATTACAAAAAAAAATGACATTATACATTCACACATGCAATTTTTTTTTTCAAACATAGATGGCATATTATTTAGTAAATATAACAATCATAAAGCAACAAAGATTAGTACCTTATAAATACACTACACAGATTAACGGTTTATTAAAAATATTAAACTATAATAACATTCTTCATTCATTCGTATAATACTATCACTTTGCTGTTTCCTACACTTTATGGTTGCCTGGAAGAATTTGCTGGTTTAGCGATAAGGCTGCCTCTTGTGCATTTTCCAACTGTAATTGTTTTTTTTCTTCTTTTGTGTGTGCAACAAAGAGTTTTTATTATTATTAATAATATAATAAACATAAGTCCATTTAAACTAATGCATTAGTACACTTTTAATTTTGTACTAAAATTTTGGTCTCGTATTTATATAAACTTTACATTTTATTTCTGAGAATAGACAAAATCGTTACATATAATACGAGTATACTAAAAACGATTTGAGAATATGATAAAATGATATGAATATAATAATAAATATTCAAACAAACGGACAAAAAACTTACTCTGTATATTAATTACTATTTACTATTTGGTTACATGTATTAAATAACATCTATTCAAAGTCAAGTTCCAAGTACAATTTTTATTTGCAAATTCTATATTAATTAACACTCGTTCAAAGCTTTCATTTAAGCCGCCATTAATTCATTCAAACGTAATTGAATGAACTCCTCTCCTTTCATTTAATTAAGGCTACATTCATTTAAAGGCCTATTTATTAGTATTTATGTGACATTAAATATTAATTTACTATAATCTATACATATAATAAAATTGTAACTAAGCCGAATCTGTAGATTAGATATTTTTTGGAAAATCTTATTGAAATAAACATTATTATCGATACAGAGGCCGAATCTATAGTTTTTAGTATTTTTGTCTGTCTGTCTGTTACCGCATCACAGAAAAACCACTGGAGGGATTTTGATGAAATTTGGTATGGTGATAGGTGGTCAGAAAAATACAAAAATTGCAATGTAAGAGTATAACTAATAGGTAAAACCTAAGAATTCGGTTAGGATCGCGGGCGGAGCCGCGGGCAATGCTGGTATATTGAATATTTATTGCAGCATTATTTCTATACTTTTAGTGTATTTTTAACATTATATTCAGTACCTACTGGAAGTATAAATATTTTTTCGTTTTGTTAAGTTTAAACAATGATGTCAGTAATACAAGCAACCAAAAGGAATTATTTGCTTTTAAAGTGATAAACATTTCAGAGCAAAGCGTGATCTGCGAATCCATTTGCATTTATTTAAAACGACCAAACCAAACCAATCCGTGTAGCGAAACGAATAGGTACAGTTGGGAGTAAATCTATAAAAATATTATTTTTGTAAACATTGATCTAATGCTAATTACTTACCTCACAATTTTTTGGCCTTCACCTAAATTTGGTTTTTGTAAATATCAATCGACGTATGAATAATCGATTTAACATTTAAATTGTATTATAAATATTAGATTAATACTTTATATTGTGATAAAATACATTTTACCAAATAATGAATGAAATAAAAATAATCTATAATACGTACGTAACATCTAAAAATAAGATCCACTAAAAGTTTATTTTTGAGTTACTTAAGTTTTTAATATGCTTGTAAGTGGATCGTAATACTACGAAAGTGATCGTAAAACCATACGAACGAGTACGAAGTAGAAAATAGCCATTTTTGAATATATACAATCAAAAACTCTATCTACTACATTTTGGTCAATTAAATATAGCGTAAAGCGTAAAATATTATGGAAATAGAAATATGTTAATATTTACGAACTCTTATTACTGTAAATGACGTGACGATTTTTTTCTTAAAAACAAAACCAACAGTAAAAATTTTTGTTCGCACATCATTATCTTCTACTTAAAAATATTCTCCGTAAAAGTACTGCTTCACTACAAATTAAACGGACTAGAAATTATGTAAAGCATCGCATAATTTTCTTTAGTAGACGTTTAATGTTAATATTTTGTAAATAATGTATAATGCATAACAAGTTTACTTTTTAAGCGTTCTAAATTTGTTTTCTTTATAGATTACTGTTGATTGTCAGAAATACCAAATACGTACAATTGATGAAATGAAGTTTACAAAAAAAGTAATAAATTGGAAACTTTTATGAGAAATCCTTCACAGTATGTATTCGGCCCTTTTTAACGTCACACTGCTGGGCACGGGCCTCCCTTCAATACGAGGGGGATCAGGCCATAGTCCACCACGCTGGCCAAGTGCGGGTTGGCGGACTTCACATGTCTTTCGAAAACTTGCTAGGTTCTCTCAGACATGCAGGTTTCCTCACGATGTTTTTCCTTCACCGTAAGGCAAGTGGTAATTATGTTAGAAATAATTCGCACATGAAAATATCAGAGGTGCGAGACCCGGGATTTGAACCCGCTTCACTCGGTTTCTCAAGCAAGCGCGATACCACTGGGCTACCACTGCCTCTCCTACACAGTACAAGCAGCAAAACTCTGGAACTCCCTTCCCGATAAGATTACAAATGACAATCCATCACTAAAACTGTTTAAATCTCGCTTAAAAGAACTTTATCTAAGTGACCATGATCATGTGGAATGATTTCCTTATTATATATTTCTTGAAGTATGTGTAAGTATGTATGGATATATATATGTAATATGTATGTATGTATATATAATATGTATGTATGTATGTATCTATGTACGTATGTATGTTTGTATATGTGTTTATTTATATTATAATTGATGTTTGTAGATCAAGAATATTTATTGGGCTTGTGGTTTTATGGTTCTTAGTAGCGCAATTCAAGAATATAATGAAAGTTATGAATCTATTAGTTTTGTTGTATTACAAATTAAGGAATAAGCATAAAAATAAACCTATAGTATATTTTCCATTCTACGTGACTTAGTGAAGGAAATTTTGCTTAGCTAGCGTTAAATGAGAGAATCCTACACTGTATGAATCTTTGCTTGATTGATTGACCATTTTTTTCTTTTTTATTACTTACTTCGCGGCTTCGCTCGCTCTAAAACTACAAAAAAATCTCTAAAGAGATAGTTTCATACAAACTTTTATCCCCATATTTTACCCCCTATAAAGGATTAATTTCGAATAATGCTAAAACACCTATTTATTTAATTTTTTTGAAGAGCATTAATACTAAGTTTCAAGTAATTCTGATCATAAATATTTTTTGGATTGTATTATAATGTATTTTCCCGTGGGAATTAGAGAATATCCCGCGGTAAAAAGTAGACTATGTCACTCTCCAGCCCTTCAACTATCTCCACACAAAAAATCACGCCAATCCATTACACCGTTTCGACGTGAAAGGAAGACAAACAAACAAACAAACACACTTTCACATTTATAATATTAGTATGGATAGTACTTCTATATTCTACACATTTTTCTAAGTATTAAACTAGTCATTGAGTTAATAATAATTAGATATGTAATTATTATGTTAATTTCATTACGTCAATGAGTGATAATGACCATTTATGGATCCACTTGTGCAACTATTTATAGACATATTGTTCATTCAATATTACGATATTTTTGATATATTATGTCGTAACTAAATAATTACATTTAAATCTTTATATATTAACGACTTACACTATTTTAAAAAGTGTTATAAGTGAAAGTGTTAAATAATATACTGAGACAGTGCTAGACTGTAGTGTAAATTGATATATAATAAGCCAGTTTTTTGCAACGGTACATCACTACGTAAGCTGTAATAAAAACATCTTAAAATCACACTAATATTCAAGTGTTTTGGAATAAGTGAGTGAATATGTTTTTCACTTCTATATTTTGTAACGACTCATCGTATTTGAGCGGAATTAAACTATGTGCTATCTATAGCTATATTATGGACTAGCATTGCCCGCGGCTCCGCACGCGTTCAGATGACCAAAAACCAAATTCTTAGATTTTACATATTAATATACTCTTACATTACAGTTTTTGTATTTTTTCTCAGAAATGAGACATCTTCCCGCGGTAAAAAGTATCCTATATGTTGACCCGGATAACCAGCTATCACCATACCAAGTTCACCAAAATCCCTCCAGTTGTTTTTCTTGATGCGGTAACAGACAGACAGACTGACAGTCAGACAGACAAAAATTCTAAAAACTGAACAGCCTCTGTATCGATAATAATGTTTATCTCATTAAAATTTTCCAAAAAATGTTTAATGTACAGATTCGGCTTAGTTAGAATTTTATTATATATATAGATTTGCACATGGACTACTTACGAGTATACCGACCCACCTAACACGTCAGTGGGCCCGCGGGCAAAATTAAAAATTATTTTAAAATAAGATAATATTTAAAGAAAATAAATCAAATTACAATCTCTTCAATACATAATTATGTTGATGATTCTAATAATATATTATTAAAAATATTTTAAATTACTTAACAAATCATATTATAGACGTCGGGTGCCGGATAAATGGCTTAAAAATAAAGGCTTCATGGTAGAAGTTTCCGGTTCGAGTTTCACTTGACGCAAATATCTATGTTTGCCATACAAATATATTTAAATTTTTGTTGGTCGCTGAGTATTTGTCTATGGTAAGTGTGTTTTAAACCCAGAAAAGACAACCCCATAGAGCCCCTAAGAAAACAATAATATTATAAAATATGTATTATATTTATTTATTATTAAATAAAAAAAAATAACTTGGCTATAAGAAAAATAGTATTAGTAGTTGTAAAACTGAACATAATACAAACGCTGAGCAATAAAAGTTGGCCGTTAACTATGAGCCAATAATCGCGTGTTATTCGTTTTGTTCT